GATGAGGGGTTTGGTTTCTTTTTTGTTTTAAGCGCAATATGTGGCGTGGGTTTCTGCACTGGGCAGCCCTGGGGCTGAAGGCGGTGGGTCCACACACCCCAAGTACACAGGCCTACAGAGGGGAGCCCCTAGGCAGCACCGCTACCTACCCACCACCTCACTGCTGTTCAGGGCCCACTCTGCACTTCCGACTTCTGTCACCCCCTCACCTGTGTTCCCCTTGTCCGTCACCCCTCCCTGCGTCTTGCCCGTCATCCCCACACTTGCGTCTCTCTGGTCCGTCACCCCCTCACTGGATCCCCCTCATCCCCTTACTGGGTCCCCCTCTCCATCACCTTCTCACCTGGTCCCCCCTCCGTCACCCTCTCACTGGGTCCCCCTCTCCGTCACCCTCTTACCGGGTCCCCCTCACCCTCTCACTGTGTCCCCCCTCCGTCACCCCCTCTCTGTGTCCCCCTCACCCTCTCACTGGGTCCCCCCTCCGTCACCCTCTCACTGGGTCCCCCTCACCCTCTCACTGTGTCCCCCTCTCCGTCACCCCCTCTCTGTGTCCCCCTCACCCTCTCACTGGGTCCCCCCTCCGTCACCCTCTCACCGGGTTCCCCCTTCGTCACCCTCTCACCGGGTCCCCCCCTCCGTCACCCTGTCACCTGGTCCACCTCTCCGTCACCCCCTCTCTGTGTCCCCCTCACCCTCTCACTGGGTCCCCCCTCCGTCACCCTCTCACCGGGTTCCCCCTCCGTCACCCTCTCACCGGGTCCCCCTCTCCATCACCCCCTCTCCGCGGCCTGCTCACCATGATGCTCGCCGCTGGCCGCTCGCCACCTTCCCACCTTCGCTCTGTGCCAACGCCACACGCTCAACTGCCCACCCGACGCTCGCGCACTGTGCCGCGTCCTCATTGGCTCGCTGCTTGCTCAGTTACCATTGGCTCCCACAGCATGGGGGGGTGGGTCGTATAGGCCCAGATCTCCATCGTGATTGGTCATCTTCCCTGCCGGGCAAAAGTCATCAGTCTGATTGGTTGTCGGTTTTAGGCGGGAAGTTGGTGGCGGCCGGTGGGAAGAGGCGGGGCTGTTGCGAGGCGCAGTGGCTGAAAGCGAGTCAGGCTTTGACGCGAAAGCTGGACCCGGACACAAGTGGTTGTTTCGGGGGGACAGTGTGTGTAACACAGAATGACGGAGTCGGGGAGGGGCGGAAGGCAGGAGACCCGGCGGCCTCACCGTCACCACACCTTGGTCCCGCCCAGCTCCCGCTGGTCTGAGCGCGATTGGGGTCGTTTGTCCTAGGGGGAGCTGCAAAACCCCTCAGTGTCAGCCGCTGCTGGGGGGCGAGGGGAAATGAACCCGACGGAGGCAGATGAAAAGCAGGTTACATGGGGTTAAAAAGCAGCTCGGACCTCTGCGCCTCCCACGCAGCACCCCATATTGATTCTCACCTCCCACTCCGGTCCGGCTTCCTGCAAATGCACACCCTGGGAGGCAGCAATGGCGGCTCAGGTGCTTCTTTCCTGCCTCCCACGTTAGGAGACCCAGGGTCCAGCCCTGGTGGCTGCAGGTCATGGAGTGAACCGGCGGATGAATCTTCCCTCCTAAGTAAGTTAATATTCTTATTTTTAAAAAGGATTTATTTTCATTGGAAAAACAGATATACAGAGGAGGAGAAACAGAAAGGAAGATCTTCAGTCCACTGGTTCACTCCACAAGTGACCGCAATGGGTGGAGCTGAGCCAATTCGAAGCCAGCAGCCAGGAGCTTCTTCCGGGTTTCCCACGCAGATGCAGGGTCCCAAGGCTTTGGGCTGTCCTCCACTGCTTTCCCAGGCCACAAGCAGGCCGCCAGCATTAGAACTGGTGCCCATATGGTATTCTGGTATATGTAAGGTGAGGACTTTAGTCGCTAGGCTACTGCGCCAGGCCCTCTTCTGCTGGTTTTTTTTTTTTTTCCCCAGGGGCATTATCAGGGAGCTGGACTGGAAATGGAACCGATAGTATGTGACTTGGTGCCCATATGGAATGTTGTCATCAAAGGCAATGGCTTAATTCACTCTGCCACAGTGCCAGCCCGTTTGAGCTGCTTCATAAAATCCAATCTGTGGGGCTAGCACCATGAGGTACCAAACTAAGTCTCCAGCTGAAATACTGGCATCCCATACAGGTGCCAGGTCGGGGTCCTGGCTACTCCACTTTCGATTCAGCTCCCTCTTTATGGCCTGGGAAAGCAGCAGAGGATGGTCCAAAGCCGCGGGACCCCGCGTCTATGTGGGAGATCAGGAAGAAGTTCCTAGCTCCTGGCTTCAGATCGGCTCAGCTCTGGCTGTTGTGGTCACCTGGGGAATGAACAGTGGATGGAAAATCTTTGTTTCTCCTTCTACTTGTGTTCTGGGACAGTAGCAGAGGATGCCTAAAGCTTGGAACTCTGTACCCATGTGGGACCCAGGGGAAGTGCCAAGTTCCTGGATTTAGACTGGGTAGCTCCAGCATTACAGCCATTTGGAGTTGGTCCAACAGCTGAAAAATGGATCCCTTTCTCTTTCTCTTCCTGTAACTCTGTCTTTCAGATACATGAGTACAATTTTTTAAGTGCTCCAAAATATTACCTGTCAATCATAGGTACAACTTTTTTGGGGGGGATCCCCTCAGTAAAAAAACTATCCAAGCCTCCTGGTCTGAAATTCTAGACTCCTAGACTCCTGCTGAAGGCATCTGAGGACAAGGGGACACCTGCTGAGTGATGTTCTGGCAGTGCGGGGGTGGGGTAAGGGAGAGGCCACTCCCACAAGAGCCAGATGCCAGAGGGGATCCAGGGAGCTGGCCAAGGCTGAGCAGTTCTAAGTGGTCCCGCGTCACCCGAGAGTCCACTAGCCTGCCACCAGCCCAGGGAGCCATGCAGGCTGCAGGTGCTATTACGAGCTGATTCCAGAATCGCACAGAAACTCAAGAACATGACAGTGTCCTGGAGAGGATTCACTCTGCTAGAATGAGCTATTACCATGAGTAGCATCCTGTTGGTGCTGGCACCGTGGCACAGTGAGTTAAGCTTCTGGCTGCAACACCAGCATCCCCTGTTCAAGTCCCGGTATCCCCTATCCAAGTCACTTCCGATGTTGCTCCCTGCTCATGCACCTGGGAAAGCAGCAGCTGATGGCCCAAGTGCCTGGGCCTCTGCATGCATGTGGGAGAACTGGAAGAAGCTCCTGGCTCCTGGGTTTGGCCTGGCCCAAGCCTGGCCAGTGCAGCCATTTGAGGAGTGAACCAGCAGATGGAAAGCTCTCTCTTTCTCTTCCTGTATTCCTTTCTGTAAATCTGCCTTTGAAATGAATAAAATAAATGTAAGCAAAACAAAACAACACAAAGCCAGAATAAAATAAATGTAAACGAAACAACACAAAGCCAGAATCCTGCTGTCACACGAATTCTCTTTCAAAGTAAGGAAGGGACAGAGGGGCAGGCTCCTGCGTTCCAGAAAGGAGTAAGCAGGAGTAAGCCGGAGGGGAATCCATCAGAGGCAGATGCTGGGCAGGTGCTCCTGGGCTGGGCAGGTGCACTCAAGCTGGGAGGAGCTGTCACTGCCATTTGAAGCCCTCAGCGATGGGGTCGGGCATCCACCCCAGGGCTGGGAGCTGTCTCAGGAGAGTGCTTGGGGAGATGGCCTGTACCTGAAGGCTCCGTGGGAGTTGCACCAATTCATAGAACTCCCTGAAGGGTAGTGTTTGAGTACCCTGTGTGACAGTGGCTTCCTACTATGTCATTGTATAAGAGAGGTCAGGGGTTGCCCGGGGTCACTCAAGCCTTAACCGTGTCCTCATCTCAATATATTTGAAGTTCAGACTCTCCGGCCCCACCACCACACACAGACACATACACAGCACCCTTAGAGGGATGGGAGTGTAGGGAGGTGGGGGAGGGAGTGCTCTGCTGAATGCCTGGCTGGGTGGGGAACAGGCGACGAAGGTTTGTTGAAATGGCTTTGAAATGCAAAGGAGCAGGGGCCTCTCGCAGCGGCAGGAGGGTGGGCTTGGTACCCTCCGCTGTGGATTTGACCCTGACCCTCAGGGACCTAGTAATCTGGGCTAGGGTGCGGTGTCTGGGTGTGTAGCGATGTGTGAGCTCTCTGTGCCGTTCTGGACCGGTTAGAGCTGCTGCCGAGGAGCCGCCGCGTGCTGGATCCGCCGCCCCCGGGTCTGAGGGCGGGCCCTGCGCGCGGGCGGTGCCAGCGGGAGGGGCAGGCGCAGCGCGCAGAGCACAGAGCGGCGAGGCGGCGGCTGCAGCCACGACAGCAGGTGGGTTGTCGCGGCTTCTGCAGGGACCAGGTCAGGCCCAATAACGGCAACCGGCTCGGGTAGCGGGGAGGTGGGTTGGGGGAGGACTAGGGCGAGGGCAGTCTGGTTCTGGTGGTGTCTGGGCGTGCAGGGCTGCTGCTCAAGGACTCAGGGCCCAGGGAGCCATCCCCACTGCCTCTTTGCTGTTACGCTGATGCCCCAGCCTAACGGTGTGTGCGTGTGTGTGCGTGTGTGTGTGTGTGTACTGTGGGGGTGCTCGAGGAGGTGCGAGCGGTGGCGAGAAGGCAGATGAAGGTGGCTCTCTAAAGCCAGGTGGCAGCCTGGGCCACGCCCCGGTCTGCACAGTGGCTCCTGTTCCGGGTCAGGACAGCTTGGCCCAGTGCCCCGCCCTGGGGAAGCCTCGGATTTCACCTCCCTCAGGGATCTGGGACCCACCACAGCTTCTTGCTCCCTGCAATTGCCTCCCACACACTCTCACGGGTGTCTGGCTGGCACTCAGATGCACCTGCTGCCTTGCCTGCCCTGGAGGCTGACCGGATCTCTGTCGCTTGCTGGTGATCTCCCAGCTCTTGAGCAGGTACACAGATGCAGGTGGCTTCAAGAGGCTCCTCCTAGAACCGGGATGGAGAGAGGACCCGACCCGGAGCAACCTGTCTCTCCCATTTGGCCCTGGCAGGTCTCCAAGAGCAACCAGTGTGGTACTCCTTGTCCATCCAGCTGCCATGGCATATGGGCTGCCCAGCGCAGCCAGCCTGGTGCGCCTGTGCCGGAAGCTGAACCGACTGAAGCCTTTGGAGGACTCCACCATGGAGACATCCCTGCACCGCTGCTTGTCCACACTGGACCTGACCCTGTTGGGCGTGGGGGGCATGGTGGGCTCAGGCCTCTACGTGCTCACAGGCGCTGTGGCCAAGGACATGGCCGGCCCCGCCGTACTCTTGTCCTTCGCGGTCGCCGCCGTGGCCTCCCTGTTGGCCGCCTTGTGCTACGCAGAATTTGGGGCACGAGTGCCCCGCACCGGCTCCGCCTACCTCTTCACCTACGTGTCCATGGGCGAGCTGTGGGCTTTTCTCATCGGCTGGAATGTGCTGCTGGAATACCTCATTGGCGGTGCCGCCGTGGCCCGCGCCTGGAGTGGCTACCTAGATGCCATCTTCAGCCACAGCATCCGCAACTTCACCGAGACCCACGTGGGCGCTTGGCACGTATCCTTCCTGGCCCGCTACCCGGACTTCCTGGCCGCCGGCATCCTTCTCCTAGCTTCGGCCTTCGTGTCCTGCGGCGCGCGTGTCTCCTCCTGGCTCAACCACACCTTCTCGGCCATCAGCCTGCTGGTCATCCTTTTCATCATCATCTTGGGCTTTATCTTGGCCCGCCCCCACAACTGGAGCGCGGCTGAGGGAGGCTTTGCGCCTTTCGGCTTCTCTGGCGTCATGGCGGGCACAGCCACCTGCTTCTACGCCTTCGTGGGCTTTGATGTCATCGCTGCCTCTAGTGAGGAAGCCCGGAACCCGCGGCGGGCCGTGCCCGTGGCTATCGCCGTTTCCTTGGGCCTGGCCGCTGCCGCCTACATCCTCGTGTCCACCGTGCTCACCCTCATGGTGCCCTGGCACAGCCTGGACCCTGACTCAGCGCTCGCGGATGCCTTCTACCGGCGAGGATACAGCTGGGCCGGCTTCATCGTGGCTGCTGGCTCCATCTGCGGTGAGGGTACCTTCTTGGGTAGGGTGGAGAGGGAGGGAATGAAGGGGGGTGCTCTGTCCTGAGCATCCTAGTCCAGCCTCAGTTTACCAGATGTATAATGGACCCAGGTAAAGTGCCAGTTATCAGGTGGTCAGTGTCTGGGTGTATAGTCGCTGGCTGCTTTCTTGGGCAGGGGGACTCAGAACTGACCTCAGAGCTTCCACTGTTCATGTCTTAACTGAGTGCCCGTTTCTGGGTTGGGGGAAGGGTGGCAATTCAGCATCCTCCCCTTACTGTTCCCCTCCTCCATGAACCCACACCCATGTTCCCAAGGGGCCACCTGTGCCCGGGTGCCCACACTGATCATGTCTGCCCTCTTCCGCAGCCATGAACACGGTTCTGCTCAGCAACCTGTTCTCCCTGCCTCGCATTGTCTATGCTATGGCGGCCGACGGGCTCTTCTTCCAAGTGTTTGCCCGCGTGCACCCCCGCACGCAGGTGCCCGTGATGGGTATCCTGGTGTTCGGCGTCCTCATGGCCCTCTTGGCGCTGCTGCTCGACCTGGAGGCGCTCGTGCAGTTCCTGTCCATTGGCACCCTGCTGGCCTACACCTTCGTGGCTGCCAGCATCATTGTGCTACGCTTCCAGAAGTCCTCTCCACCAGGCTCCCCCAACCCAGCCAGTCCCGGCCCCTTGGCCAAGCAGCTTGACTCCTTCTCAGATCGCATCCACTTGGTAGAGGCCTCTGTTCTTGCTCATCCTGGACAGCTGCGGCCAGCCCTGAAGCCCTACCTCGGCTTCCTGGATGGCTACGGCCCCGGAGCTGCCGTCACATGGGCACTCAGCCTCCTGGTGGCTTCAGCCATCACCCTGGACTGTGTCCTGGTCTTCGGGGATTCAGCCCTGCACCTGCCACGTTGGGGCTACTTCCTGCTGCTCTTGCTCAGCGGCGCCGTGTTCCTGCTCAGCCTTTTGGTCCTGGGGGCTCACCAGCAACAGCACCAGCAGGACACTTTCCAGGTAAGTGTTCCATGTGCCCTACCATTGCAGAATGGACCATGGTAGTGTAGGGGAGGGCCAGGACATGCATCCTCCCTGCACACACTTGCTCTCTCTCTCTCTCTCTCTCTCTCTCTCTTTGCTGCCTGGCGAGACACCACATGCTTGAAGATGGAGCTGGACCCAGGGCCTGCTCTGCCCTTGTCCTTGTCCCCTCAGATCCCCATGGTGCCCCTGACTCCAGCCCTAAGCATCCTCCTCAACGTTTGCCTCATGCTGAAGCTCAGCTACCTGACCTGGCTGCGCTTCTCCATCTGGCTGGTGATTGGTGAGTGGCAGCTGGGCACCTCCCTTGGGTGGGCGGGGCTTCAAGTGACTGAGCCTGTGAGGGTGAGGAGGAGGGCAAGACAGGGCTTGTGGAATCTGTAACCTCAGCCTCATGCCCACTCCATCCCACCCCCATTCGATGCCACCACCGCTGTTGCAGGACTCGCAGTGTATTTTGGCTATGGCATCAGACACAGCAAGGAGAACCAGCGGGAGCTACCTGAGCCGACCACCAAGCGCTACGTGGTGTTCCCCAGCGGCAGCCTGGAGGAGACGGTGCAGCCCGTGCAGCCCCCCAGCCAGGAGGCACCAGTCCACGAGGCTGACCATGCCCAGTAGCTGGCTACTCTGTCGAAGGACTGCCTGCCCAGGCTTGCCTTGCCGTCTGCACCTCCTCAGGAGGCTGTAGGGGCGGGGATCTCCTTCTGTCCTGGGCCAGCTTGAGTGTGTAGGACCAGCCTGAGTTGTGAGTGGAGGGGGCGCCATCAGGACTTTAGTCAAGGTCACACAGCTTTCAGAGAATGGGGGCCTTGGCCAGCACTGGCGCAATGAGTGGTCTTGGTGCCCCAGCACCTTCCTCTTTATGCTCAGCCTCTGCCACCTGGGCAGGTGAGACAGTGGGTGCAGCGGGAGGAGGAGGAGGGGACGAGGCCTGCTGCCCCAGGGATGCAAAATAATAACTGCTAAGCCAGCCATGTGGCCTGCACCAACATTTGCAGTGACGTTCTTTGTGGCCTTGAGTCATCCTCATCTACTTGTTGGAGCCAGGGGACCAGGAGGTGGTCCCCAGTCTGCAACAAAGACACTGAGGACCACTGCAAGGGCCCTTGGGGCCACCCTGAGTCAGGACCTAGGTCCTGAGGGCTCTTGCTCTCAGGCCAGCACCTTCTGCCCAACTCAGTGGGTGAGCAGGCACACACGCACTCCAGGCACAGGGGAGCTTTTGATAGACCCCTACTATGTCTCTTTAACAGGTGGATCCAGGGGATAGAGCTTGGGCCCTCAAAAAGGTTGCATAGAAAGGACGGCAGGGTTCTGGGGTCCCCCTCAGTTTCCCATGGATCACAGATAACATGGGGGAGTGGTGCCTGAGTCCTGCCTGTGGATATCACTTAGACCTAGGAACACACCCATCTAGGCACCTGCGCCCACTGGTCCACACAGCACCCTGGGAAGGACACAGCTGTGTGAGAATGCAGGCAATAGCTTGCCAAGCCTGGGTCCCCAGGGCTCTCTCTCTGTCTCCCTTCCCCATCCCAGCTCTGCCAGGAAATCAGCAGCCATGCTCACAACTGGTCCAGTATGCATATAAGTGAATAGGAAGCTGGGCCTGCTTCAGTTGTCTTCCAGCCCAACTTTAGCTGGCAGTGGGGGCTCCACGTACAACGGGGAGAGGGAAGGTCGCAGAAAGTTCCAGGGACCCTCCCTGTACTCTCTCCCTGTGGGGGTCGTGCTGTGTCCTTACTTGACATGTCTCCTTCCTGTCCCTGCCCACAAGGGCTACACAGGAAGCCACTGGCCTTGGCTCATTTTAATCCAATTTTCCCTGAGCCCAGAGGATAACAGAACCATGTGACCTACATGCGGTAATCAGGAAGCCATGCCTCCAAGCCCAGTCCGGCCCCTTGAAGCCTGCTTGCCTATGGACATGTGTGCAGGCAGCAACAGGGCACCCAGGGGCCATGCTGAGAGGCTGCTGGAGACAGATAAATCCAAATACGGGCCCAGTTGACTCTGTCCCTGGCTGTGTATCCTCCGTAGTACAGCCCTAACCACTGGTCTCCCCGGGGTGAGCACATACACACACACACACTCATATCCCCATTTGGTCTGGGGTCAAGAGTGTGTCTTGGCTGCTGCACCCCTGTGTAGCCATGGCTTCCAGGAAAGGGAGGAGGCTCTCTGTCTGGTAGGACTCAGCTGTTGGTAGAGGGGAGCATGGCCAAAAAAGATTCCAGAGCCACAACCTGGCCAGCCTGCCAAGGACTGCAGTGTCCTTTATTGGGGACATTGCATCCAGCTGCTGGATTCTGCCTGGGGTCAGGCTCAGGACCTCCCACGTGCAGCTGCCCCAACAGGTTTCTAGGTGTGACTTGGAGAGGGACTAGAATAGGGAGCTGGGGTCTCCCGGGAGGAATATAAATAGAAGGTCCCAAGTAACCAATGCTCAATCGCTGACCCCGCCCACTGCCCTTGGCCCCCTGGCCTGAGAGCTGCTGTCCTTTCCCCGGCACACCTCTCTCCAGCAGTAGCTGTGGGATGTGCGTGTTCTCCAGCCTCCACAGGTTCCCTGCTGTGCCCCTCTGCCCCGAGCTGTCACAGCTGCTCAGCTTCTGTGGTTTCCACAGGCAGCACAAGACCCCAGAAGATCAGTCAGGGTAGGATTTGGAGGGTATTTCTCCTTGTCCCCAACCCTTCTGCCCCCTAGTCCTGCTGGACCTTGTGCTGCAGGGCCCTTCCCCCTGTCATTTAGCAGGGAACAGCTACAGGCTCAGGAATGGGCTGACAGGTGGCTATGAGAGCTGGGACAGGGCCACCCTGGTGTTGTCTGTGTCTGGTTGTCAGCAGCAGCAGCAGTGGTAGCCCTGGGAGCTGGTGCTGAGCCCTGCCTAAGACACCTGCATGGGCAGGCTGCAGCTGGGAAAGCCGGCTTGGTCCACGTCACTGGCTTGGTGGTCATCTTTGGTGCCTTTGCCTATAAGCCAAGACAGCAAGCAGCAGCAGGTTAGAAATCTGGCTGCCAGCCTTTCAGGGTGAGGCAGAAGCCCACGGATAACAGCAGCACACAACATCAGCTGTGGGCTCCACACCCACCTCCTCGTACTTCGTCCTCCAGTAAAAACGGCCTTTCCTATCAACGTATAGCAGCAGCATGTCACAGAGGAAGGTGACCTGGGCGAGAGGTGATGGAGCTGGTTCCTTGGCCAGCCCTCCCGCCACCTCCCTCCGGGGTGTCTCTCTGCAGACCCCAGCAGGTGCTGGCTGCAGCCAGCTGGAGCATATGCTGCCCATACTCACCGCGCCCAGCCCTGCGGCTCCTGTACCCACTGTGATGGCTGTAGGAATGAGCCCGAACTTCCCTGCCTGGGAGACAGAGAGACCCAGGCTGAATCTCTGCCCGCACCTCTCCCAGCCCTGTCTGTCCCTCCCCGACCCCTCCGCAGCCCAGTCCCTAACCTGCCCAGTGACTAGGATGTCAAAACGGATCCCGTAGAGTTTGAGCAGGCTCCGAGCCTCTGCATCTGGGGCCTCCCCCCAGTGAGTGGCCGTCCTGCGGGCAGAGGAGATAGAGAGAGAGGGCCCTGATCGCTGGCTCAGTCAGTCCATCTAAGCATACAAGGTGGAGCAGAGCAGGGAGGGCTGGGTCCTGGGTGTAGCCGGTGTTAGCAGTGGTGGAGAGGGACGCACCTGAAGTTGTAGTTCCGCTGCTGCAGCTGGAAGGAGTAGCGAGGCCAGCAGTCGGAACCTCCGGCGTCCAGGTCGCAGTCCCAGTAAATGTTGATGCCCACGGAGCCACCCTGCCCCCAAGTGATGCTTGCTGTAGCCCCCGAGTGCCACCCAGAGTGCCCCACCCCTCGCCATCTCCTTGAGCCCTCCCTACCCGGCTCACCAGCAATGCCAAGTCCTCAAAGTCACCCCCAGCCTCTGTCACCAGGTCCCCGATGCGGAACACTGGGCAGTAGGGGCTGGTGTGTGGGTGGTAGCGACAGTCCTTGAAATAGTCCGTATCCCAGGTCTCCAGGGCATTGGACCTGAGGATGAGTATAGACGGGAGGGGAGGGGATCAGGTAAGGCACAGCCCAGGCCAGGGGCTGGAGGGATAGAAGGAAGAGGACAGCTGGGAGCTGCTCATACGTACTTGGAGAAGTTGAACTTGCGGAAGGTGACGGTGTTCTTGATGAACAGGGTGAAGTTCTCTGCCTGGGCCAGCAGCGGTCTCCTGTCGGGGGGGGGGCGAGAGGAGGGAGAAGCACAGGTCAAGAAGCACACCCCAACCCCAGGCCTGCCCTGGAGAGGAGGGGAACGAGGTGGTAGGGGAGGCTCACGTGGGCACAGCGTTGCCCTCCACCGGGCACCAGCCCCAGATCTCACAGGTCCTGTGGGTCCCGTTGAACACCACACACTGGCCCGTCTTGATGCCTTGGAAGACACAAGATGGACCTGCAGCTGGAAGCTCCCAATTTCCCCAGGGGTGAGGGTTCGGTGACAAGGGTGGAGGGGAGAGAGAGGGCTGATGGAACAAAACAAAAGATGCACAGAGCCCACGGTACCGTGGCTGTGTGTCCCCATCTCTCCTTCAGGGCAGTCATGATCAGTCCAGCAGCTAGCCAGTGGGACAGAGGGGTGCTGGGGTGGGTGAGAGAGAGACCAGTCACCAAAGGGCTGGGAGGCAGTTTCACAGACATACTCCTCCCCCACTTTAGGTTCAAGGGCACCCTTGCTGGGAAGAGTGGGCATGCGGGGAAGCTGGAGGGGTAAGCCACCGCTTGAGACACCCGCGTCCCAAATCAGAGTTCTGGACACTGTGTTTCTGGTCCAACTTGTGCGTGGAGGGAGGAACAGAACCCATCCTGGAGGGAGGCTCCTGGACAAGCTTACCTCTGGACATCTGCCTTGAACTTGTTCTGGTGTCACTATGAAATTGGTCACCAAGAAGAACACATTTTCTCCCTAGGAGGTTAAGAACCCAGCTCAGTCCCCCTCCAGCTGTGTAAGCCAACCCTAGGCCCCAAGAAGATGCCTCGGGATGAAACAGGGTAGGGGCAGAGCTGAGAGCCTTTCCACTGCTCCCAATCCCTTCTCCCGCATCTTGTGCCCCCACCACCACCACACACCCAGGAACCTCATGCCTAGGTCCACCTCTGCCACCCGTTCAGGCCTTTGGACTGGACATTTCCCCACCAAAACCACTAGTGGGGCAAGAAAGCAGGTGCTGTCAGGCTGTGGTGCTGTCCAGGAAAAATTTTAACCTGGGAGTAACTCCCCTCACCCACACCAAGGTAGTGTAGTAAGTTAAGCCTCTGCCTGTGGTTCTGGCATCCCACATGGGCACCAGCTCATGTTCTGGCTGCTTTGCTTCCATCCAACTCCTTGTTTATGGCCTGGGAAAGTTGTAGAGGATGGTCTAAAACCTTGGGACCCTGCACCCATGTGGGAAGCCTAGGAGTTGTTCCTGGCTCCTGGTTTTAGAACAAACAGCAACAAGCTCTCTGGCTTGTTGTGCCCATCTGGGGAGTGAACCCGTGGATGAAAGTTTTTCTCTCTGTCTCTCTCTGTCTCCATCTCTTCCTATAAACCTGCCTTTCTGGGCCCAGCATGGTAGCCAAGTGGCTAAAGTCTTCGCCTTGCATGCACTGGGATCCCATAGGGGCATTGTATTCCAGCTCTCTGCTTCCCATCCAGTTCCCTGCTTGAGGCCTGTCAAAACAGTTGAGGATGGCCCAGAACCTTTGGACTCTGGGAGACCAGGAAGAGGCTCCTGACTTCTGGCTTCAGATCAACTTAGCTCTGGTCATACAGCCACTTGGGGAATGAACCAGCAGATGGAAGATCTTTCTCCTCTCTGTCTCTTCTCTTTGTAAATCTGCTTTTCCAATAAAAATAAATAAATCTTTAAAAAATTTCTAATAAGAAATATTTTTAAAGATATTTTTAAATTGGAAAGTCAGATATACAGAGAGGAGGAGAAACAGAAAGGAAGATCTTCTGTCTGATGATTCATTCCCCAAGTGGCCACAATGGCTATAGCTGCGCCTATCCAAAGCCAGGAGCCAAGAGCTTCTTCCAGGTCTCCCACACGGGCACAGGGTCCCAAGGCTTTGGTCCGTCCTCGACTGCTTTCCCAGACCACAAACGGAGCTGGATAGGAAGCAGAACAACTGGGACATGAACCAGCGCCTACGTAGATCCCGGCACATACAAGGTGAGGACTTTAACCCCCAGGCTACTGCTCTAGGCCCATAAAAATATTTTAAATGCACACTTGAACCTGGATACTGTGTGAAGTGCACCTAAGTGTAGGGAGGAGAGCGAGAGTGGAAGCTAAGGGCTGCTAGGAGAAGCAGGCAGGTGTAGAAGCTAGACTGTGTGTGCGCCTTTGTCACAGCTGGATGCACAGGTCTTTCCTGGATGAAGAGGGCTGGGCGGAGGGGTGATGGTTTGTCATGGGTCCTGGTTAGAGCACAGGAGGCAGCAGCCTCACTCGGTCCAAGCAGGTGGGTTGGTGACCGTTTGGACACCCATGAATGAGCTGGGTGAGTGGTAAGGGCTGGAGGCAGGGGATCAGGAAACACACTTGACAGTGATACCCCAGGTCAGGGCTGGGCCCCTCAATGTACCCACAAACTCATGCCTCTTCTACCCCTCTTCCAGCGCAGTTCCCCTGGCCTGGCTCCCCCGGCTTGTCTTCTTCCCTACTCACTGCTAGAGTCTCACCACCGCCCCAGCAGCAGCAGCACAGGGATGGGAGGGAGGACACCCACCTGGGGCGGCTTCACAAAGTCGGCCACATCCCATAGCCGATCCCCGAGCTCTCTGATCTGTGTCACAGAAACTCCCTTGAGTTTGGTGATGACAGAAATCTGGGGGTCCAAGTCCCGCTCTTGGTAGCCTTTTTTGGTGAGGAGAGACCACCTGGGGAGGAGGTGACAGGGTGCGTGGTGTATCCCTGGGCCCCTCACACCCAGCGCCCCTGACCTCCCATTGCACACACATGCACGCACATACACACCCCCTCCAGGTTCCCACCCCCAGTATCTAGTGTGCCCCGGCCCTCGCTCTAGTCTCACCCCTCACACTGACCGGGCCTGAAGTGCTGGCCACACCCCAGAGAGAATCCTCAGATCAAGATGCCTGATACGGAGGACTCCATGTTGAGCTGGACTTCATCTCAGGTGAGGTATTCCCCCACCCCCACCCAGGGGACAGTAACCCTGCTGAGAAACCCTCATCCCGTTTGGCAAACATGCTCGGACCCCCTGACAGGCCTGGTCAAGCATGACTAAGAGAAAAAAGAATTCCGCCTAGTACAACAGCAGTCTTCAAAGTTAGCCATCGTTTTATCTTTGAAGTAGTTCCCATCAGCTCAGTCCCCTGAACCCCTCCCAGTCTGTGGTTTCAACCTTTGTAGACCCCCGCTGTTCTGTAGTTCAAGGTTGAGAGGTCTCTGGGCCATATACCCCTACTTTACAGCAAGCAGCAAAGGATTTCCAAACCTTATAATCTGTGGCACTTCTCTGTATACAGAGAGAAGGAAGTAGGCCCTACCCACGCAGCACATACTTGTACCCCCCGACCTTGCCCATGCCACCACCCCCGCCGCAGGCCTCTGGACAGGTGAATGGGTGGCTTTTTCTTGCTATTTCCTGCCTCCTACCCCCTAGGCCAGCCCAGGCCCCTATAAACAGCCAAGCTCAACACCCTACCCCAGGACCAGCCCCGGTCCCTTCTGCCAAGATGGCCAGCAGCCAGTCTCTCTCTTACCCTACCACGTAGGCCACGACTCCCAGCTGCAGCAGCCTCTGCAGGGCGCCCACCCGCCAGTTTCTGGTCATCACATACTTCACTGTCTTATAATCCAGAAGCCCCCAGTAAGCCATTGCCCCCGGAGAGCCCATGCTCCCAGCTCCTGCTGCCTGGTAGCCGGAGGTGGTAAGTGTGTGAGTCAGCAACACTTCCAGGCAGGCCGAGGACAGATGCCCATTAAAGGGACACCACCTCTCTGGGCCCTACCCCCACCCCTCCCCAGTTCTGGGCTCAGACCCAAGCACCAGCTGTCCAGGGCTTCCCATTCACTGCAGAGTTCCTCTGCGGGAGGTCCTGGCCCTCTGACTGCATGTCTTCTGAGGGGGAGTGGAATGACAGGTGTCTTAAGTAGTGAGAGTGGAACAGCAGAGCCCAGAGGAGGACCGCCACCCCCCCCCCCATACACACACACCCATCCTAGGCAGGCTTCAGCAAGAAGTGACCTGCTGGCGGTAGGTAGGGAGCAGTGATGTGACATAGCAGGCTAAGCGTTCCTCTGCCACGCAGGCATCCCATATGAGTGACAGTTTGTGTCCTGGCTGCTACACTTCCCATCCAGATCCCTGATCCTGACCTGGGAAAGCCTTGGAGAATGGCCCAAGACCTTGGAACCCTGAACCCACATGGAAGAAGTTCTTGGCTCCTGCCTTTGGACAGGCTCAGTTCTGGCTGTTTCAGCCATTTGGGGGAGTGAGCTAGAGGATGGCAGATCGCACTTTCTTTTCTTTTCTTTCTGACTTTAAAATAAGAATAAATCTCAAAAACAGAAACAAAACGGTGACCTCTGGGCTTGTAGATTCTGAAGGTCAGGCAACAAGGTTGGGCAGGATGGAAAGGCCGCGGGGGCGGGGGGGGAGGACTGAGATCTCCTGTGGGGAGGGGTGGCTGGCTCTGCAAGACCCCCAGCTTTTCCACTGACCAAATGCAAGTGCAGGGACTAAAATACAAGGCCAGGAGTCACTCCATGAAGAGAGGCCGTGATGAACATCACAGGGACGCAGGAAGAAGCACCGCCGGCAAGGCACCCACGCAGCCACGTCTGTGCCTGGCCAGCTGCGCTTGGCTTAGCCGTCCGGGCCAGAAAACAGCCAGGGTAGATTAGCAGCTGTTTCTGGGGCAACCGACCACGCGGGGTTGCCGGGGCAACCGGCCGGGGCGACCGGCCGGGGAAGAGCATTGCTATTGGCTGCTACGGGAGCCTATTCACCGGAAGCCATTATCGATTGGCTATGCAGCCACAAGGCCCGCCCACATTCCCGGGCGGAATTCTGAGGCGCAACTTGTCCCAGCCTCAGTGCTAGAGCCAGCGGAATGGACCGAACTCTGAAGTGTCCGGGTGAGAGACCTGAGGAAAACGAAGAGCAGGACAAAGAGGCGGTGGCCGCCCATGGGCGGCTTGCAAGGCTCGAGGAGGCCGAGGAGGGGTCGGATTGGGACTCCGACCTGGAGACCGAAGGTGCACCCCACATTCACTCCCACACCCCCGGGGTAGAGGGGGTGCCAGGCCTATGTGGCTTTGAGGGGCTTCTTACGCCCGGGGATTGGGGTGAGGGTGCACTCAGGACGGCCACCTTCATAATACCGTCTGCGGCCATTTATAAGACGAGGTCTAAACGTGAACTAGACAGGACGGTGTAACAAGGAGTCTCTCTCCCTCCCCCCCCAAACAAAGAAAAGAAAAATTGATTAGAATTGTTTTCACCCTCCCTACCACCGCCCCCCTAAAAAAAAAAAAAAGCAAACCCTGGTTTTCTGCAGGCAGGGTGCTAGCCCTAATTCTGACTAGATTTGCTTTCTCTGGGCCTCAGTGCACAGTAGTCTCACTAGCATGGGAGACCATCATGCTGTGACAGAGGGCGGGGTGGGATTAGGGGGTCAACCATGGTGGCCCCCGTGTCTTCTTTCCCAGGCACCCCAGGGCCTGGAGAATGGAGCAAGAACACCCTGGGCCTGAGGTCTCGCTGGGCCTATGGCGTTGTGTCTGCTGCTGGCTTTCTGCCTCAAGGGAGTACTCCAGAGCTGAACCTGCGGCACCGTGGCCTGGGGCCCCAGGTACCCCTCTCCCACCCCACCCACCAGACCCCAGGAGGGAGAGCACCTGTGTGTGTTTTGTGGGAGGATGCCCAAGTTTAAAGAACATGAGAAGGGAGGGTCCTGGAGACAAGAGCTATGGATGTGCCCCTGTGTGAGACCAACGCCCACCCCTGAGTCCAACCCACATTTCTGCCTCGCCCTGTGCCAGATTCATCCCTTCTCACAGTGGGGATGGGGGCTGTGACAGCCCAGCTGGGAGGGGGCTGGGTGCTGGGGAACCCTGACTCGGGGATGTGCGATGGGGATGGCATCTGGAAGAAGCAGGTGTTCCTCCTGGGTGTGGGCGTGAGCCATGTGGTTTCCCCATCGCAAGGCACTGAGTGTCCTGAGTCCTGGGAGAACGAAGGCAGGGCGGTGTGGCAGCTGTGTCTGAGGCCCTCAGGCTCCTCTCTGTTCTGTCCCAGGGGGCCCGAGCTCTGGCTTCTGCCCTGACATCCACTCCCTGTGTCAAACGGCTTGATCTCCAGGACAATGGCCTTGGTGGGGCTGGTGCAAAGGCCCTGGCAAGTGTGCTGAGCCAGAACAGCAGCATCTGTGGTAGGTCCTGGGCTTAGGGGGCAAGGCTCAGAAATGCAAATACAGCCCCTCCCCACCCCAGGACCTGGGTCTCTGCTGGTGTTGCTGGGGGCTGGAGGAGGAGCTTCATCACAAGGTAGGGTACATGGGGGTGGAGTCAGATTCTCTTTAGGACTGGACCCCACCCAGTCCCAGTACTCTAGCACCTGTGGACTCTCAGTGCCTGAGTATGGGTTGCTGGGGTCTTTTGATACAGAAATAACGGGCTGGGCAGTATGAGAGGGGAACAGGGAGAGATACAGGGGCAATTCCAAATGCTGGCTCTGCCACCCAAGAAAGGGGTGAGCTGGGCAAGCCCCTTCCCCTTACTGAGCCTCAGTTTCCAAGCTGTAAAATGGCCCCTGCCCCAGAGAGACCATTTAGTCCTTAGGGTTATGGTCAGCAAAGAACAATGTGATCAGTCCAGCATCCCATCAGGGCTCTGTGCACGGCCACCCTGTACGATGATGACCTGCTGGACTCTGGCGTTGTGGCAGTGAAGAAGGGTTTCTCATACAATGGAGCCATCCAACACCCGGGTGGCTTGTCTCTGTTGATAGGTTGGCACAAGCACCTTACAACCCTAGACTTAGGGTTGGGGGAGGGCCTGGAAGGAAAGGGAAGAAGGGGGAGGGTGACACCGGTGCCTTCGGATGCCACTGACTGACTGTGTTGTTGGCCCGCAGAGGTGGACTTGTCTGAGAACCAGCTGGGAGCAGCAGGGGCCAAGGCACTCTGTGCTGCCCTCTCAAGGGCCCAGACAGTGCAGAAACTGCGTCTGGCAGGAAATGATCTGGAGGAGCAGGCCGCCCGCTACCTTGCCGAACTCCTGCTGGCCCACACGGGCCTCAAGGCCCTGGATCTCAGCTATAACCAGCTGAACGACCCAGCAGGTATCACCAGTTAAGGCTACCACGAGACATGGAAATTCAGTTTTCCTGGACACGAGTGGGTGCCTTTGGCTGCACACATATCCAGATTCTGATCCCTGACCTACCTTGCTCCCATCTTGGCCTGCTGCTCTCCTCCAGCTGCACAGAACTGTGTTATGACTGTCCTGTGTCCTGGGTACTGACTTATGTACATGACACCACCAGGCATTGACAGAACAATGTCCCTGGCCTTATGGAACACATAGTATCAAGATAGTTTTCAATGATTGTTTAAAACACAAAGCAAAAACAAACAAAACCCAGGGCCTGGTGCAATGGCTCAGTATCTAAAACCTTGCCTTGCACAAACTGGGATCCCATGTTGGTGAAAGTTTGTATTCTGGCTGCTCCACTTCCCATCCAATTCCCTGCTTGTGGCCTGGGGAAGCAGTAGAGGATAGCCCAAAGCTGTGGAACCTTGCATCGACATAGGAGACCTGGAAGAGGCTCCTGGCTTCAGACTGGCTCAGCTCTGATCTTTGTGGCCACATGGGAAGTGAACTAGCGGATGGAAGATCTTTCTGTTTCTCCTTCTCGCTCTATAAATCTGGCTTCCCAATGAAAATGATTAAATTTTAAAACAGACACACACAAGCTGGTTGGCACCATGATGTCAGTTTAAATCCAAAATGCTTCACTTTCTATCCAGATCCCTGCTCATATGTCTGAGAAAGCGGAAGATGGCACAAAGTACTTGGGTCCCTGCACCCACATAAGAGACCTGAATGAAGCTTCTGGCTTCTGACTTTGTCCTGGCCCAGCCCAGACCAATTCAGCCATTTGGGAAATGAGCCAACAGGTGGAAGATTCACTCTCTCTCCCCTGTCTTTCTCTCTCTGCCCCTCACCACTGTGTCCCAGTAACTCTGGCTTTCAAATAAGCAGCTCTTAGAAAAAGAAAAAAAAGATTCACTTAACTTGAAAGAGTTACAGAAAAAAAGGAGAGACCTTCCATTTGCTGGTTCACTCCCCAACTGGACTAGCGACAGCCAGAGCTGAGCTGATCTGAAGCCGGGATCCTGGAAATTTTTGTAGGTCTCCCATGTGAATGCAAGGGACCAAGCACTTGGGCCATCCTTTGCTTCTTTCCCAGTCCATAGCAGGAAGCAAACTTGGGAAGTAGAACAGCTGAGACTTGATGCCAGCACCACAGATGGAGGATTACCCTTATATGTCACTACACTTTCCAATAATCTGTTTTAAAAGGCAAACAAGAGCTCAGTACAATGACTCAGTGGCTAAATCCTTGCTTTGCAACCACCAAGGGCCCATGTGGACACCAGTTTATGTCCCAGCTGTGCCATTTCACATACAGCTCCCTGCTTGGGTCCTGGAAGAACAGCAAACAATAGCCCAAAGCCCACAGCCCTGGACCCATGTAGGAGGCCTAGAGGAAGCTCCTGGCTTCAGATCAGCTCAGCTCTGGTCATTGGGAAGTATTGGGGATTGAATGAGCAGGTGGAAGATCATTTTCTCTATCTCTATTCTCTGTAACTCTGATCTGCCTTCCCAATAAATTTTTTTAAAAGATTTATTTTTATTATTATTTTTTTATTGGAAAGGCGGATATACAGAGAGGAGAGACAGAGAGGAAGATCTTCCGTCCGATGATTCACTCCCCAAGTGAGCACAACGACCGATGCTATGCCGGTCCGAAGCCAGGAGACTCTTCCGGGTCTCCCACGCGGGTGCAGGTTCCCAAAGCTTTGGGCCGTCCTCGACTGCCTTCCCGGGCCATAGGCAGGGAGCTGGATGGGAAGTGGGGCTGCCGGGATAGAACTGGCGCTCATATGGGATCCTGGGCGTGCAAGGCGAGGACTTTAACCACTTGCGCCACCGTGCCGGGCCCCCCAATAAAATTTTTAAAAAGGTTTCTGCCTGGGCAGAGGACAAGTGCTGGGTAGGCAGCTGCAAGAGAAGGGCAGGAGGCCATGGGAAGGCCAAACCACCACGTGTTTATGAGGGAGGTGGGCCTGTGGAATTTTGAACTCAACTGGATCACTCGTTGTTTTTCAGAGGGATTCTGTGGCTGGGCCTGATTTCTCTGGGGTGGGGGTGGGTGGGTGAGGAGTGTGATCCACAGTGAAGTTGTTAACTCCCTTGAAGCATGGCTACATGGTGGGGTCAGGTAGGTGAGAAGCACAGTCCACAATGAAGCCATTACTGCTCCTGAATGATAGCTATGAGGTGGGGGTCAGGTGGGTGAGGAGCGTGGTCCACAGTGAAGACCTTGAAGGATGGCTACAGTGCCCAGAAGCAGACCAAGCCCTGGCAATTTTCAGTCCGGAGAAGAAAGAACCTTCTCCCCCTTCAGTCATTTGGCAAAGAAGGGGCTGGAGGCAGGAGGCACCACTGCCTTCCCCTCTCAGTTCTTTTCTAGGAAGAGGAAACTTTTCTGACCTGTGAAGCTGCAGATAACAGACAGGGGGCTGACCCGGGGCACAGCCAGGGACTGTGCGGGAGCTGTCTGAGGTGCTGAAAACGTCAGCCAGAGCTGATGGAGCGTTCTGGTTGGTTGGGCCTGTGTTGGGTGCTGGAGTCACGTCCAGTCCATGGAGGACTTTGATCCTGGGGCTGGAGACTGGCCAGATGGAAACAGAAGGCAGAGCCTGGATGAAAGGAAGCATGGTGGACATGGAACCTGAGGGGATTGGGCTGGGTCAGCTCAGGCTTCCCAGTGCTGGAACTTGGAGAATAGGGAGTGACTGGGTCAGACTGGCAGAGAGAAGAGCCAGCTTGAGGTTGGGGTTCTTCTGTTTCACTGGCCATCTCCCAGAGTTTATTGTTTTGTTTTGTTTTGTTGTTTTTTGTTTTTATTTGTTTGTTTTTACTAATAACTAGATCTCATTTGTGATAAAGGTTCCTGGATTTAGGCTTTATTTGTTCTGTTTGATTTCTTTCTTTTTTTTTTTATTGGAAAGGAAGATTTACAGAAAGAAGGAGAAACAGAGAGAAAAATCTTCCATTGGCTGGTTAACTCCCCAAGTGACCTCAACAGCCCAAATTAAGCCAATTCAAAGCCAGGAGCCAAGAGCTTCCGGGGCTCTCAGGCGGGTACACGGTCCCAGGGCTTTGGGTCACCTTTTACTGCTTTCCCAGGCCACAAGCAGGGAGCTAGATGGGAAGTAGCCAGAATACAAACCAGAGCCAGTATGGGATCCTGACTTGTGCAAGGTGAGGATTTAGCCTCTAGACTACTGCACCAGGCCCTTCCTTATTTTTTTCTAAATATTTACTTATTTTTTTTTATTGGAAAGTGAGGTTTACAGAGAGAAGGAGAGACAAAGAGGAAGATCTTCTGTCTGATGATTCATTCCCCAAGTGGCTACAACATCCAGAGCTGAGCCGATCCAAAGCCAGGTTACTGAAGCCTCTTTCAGGTCTCCCACACGGGTGCAGGCTCCCAAGGCTTTGGGCCATCCTCCATTGCTTTCCCATGCTACAAGAAGGGAGCTAGATGGGAAGTGGAGCTCCTGGGGTTAGAATCAGCGCCCATATGGGATCCTGGCACATTCAAGGCAGGGACTGTGGCCGCTAGACCATGGTGCCAGACCTATGGCCTGTCACTTCCTAAAGTCCTTCCTGACTACTTGTCACTGACAGGGCAGTACCCAAGCCCCTTAGCATGAAGGTCTGTTTAAACAAAAAAGCTTTTGAGAGGTGGAGAAACAAAGAGTTCTGCAAATGCCTGCAAAAGCTGGGGCTTGCGCAGACTGAGGCCAGAAGAAGCCCACAACACAATGCAGATCTCTCCAAGATGGGTGGTGGCTACATGAGCTATCCCATGATTCCTGTTCAGGGTCTTCATTAGCATGAAGCTGGAATCAAGAGTTCAAACCCAGGCACTGAGTTTGCATTGCAGGTGTCCAAAGTAGCACCTATCAAGTGCTCCCCACCCCAGCTTCCAAAAGGTGACATATCCACAGGTGTCTAGGTGTCTCCATGCATGGTGGGCTCCTAAGTTCAAGGTTACCTCCTCTGCCCTCACTACCCTGACCAGTAAGGCAGGGTCAACCCCCACTCCATTCTGGTCCTTCTCTGCGTCTAGCCTAAAGAGCTCACATTCTGTTCATTCGGATTCAGATCTTTCGCATGTGTTCGTTTTATCTCTGGGCCCCTCCTGCATCTTGGGAACTGAAGCTTCAATCCTGGTCTCTCCCACACGAAGGTCAGGGACCCAAGTACTTGAGCCATCACCTGCTTCCCCAACAGTTTGTCTTACTAACGTTCAGGAACTGGAGATAAAGCCAAGAACTGACTCTAGCACTGCAGCATGGGATGTGGGTGTCTCCAACAGTACGCTGAAGGTCTGTCCCCAGTGTCATATTTTGAAGGAATGAACAGAGCAACTAAGAAGGTTTCTTGGTGTTTCTGAAGGAGAGACCTTGGGACCGGCCCTGGCAGAAAACGCAGGACTCACTGAGCTGAACCTAAGCTGGAATCACCTGCGAGGCCCAGGTGCTGTAGCGTTTGCCAGGGGGCTGGAGGTAAGGGGCTGGAGGTAAGGGGCCCGTATGCAGACGGCTTTGGGGCACGTGGCTTGGGAGCCAGTTCCTGGTTGTTGCTGCTCTTCAGAAAGGAACCTGGTTTCTCCTACCTGAACTTAAAAAGCCTTTCTTTAGGTGCCCTTGAGTTTCTCAGCTGCATTTAACGAATGCAATATGCTATGCTCAGCCTCGTGCTACTTACCCGCGGGTCAAACTGCATGTCATGCCCCTTCCCCAGGCCTCACAGACACTTCCCCAGGCCTCACAGACCAGGTAGGGGACATCTGTGGATTCTGATGACACAAGCACAATGTTGGACCCCAAGATCTTACGCTTTTCCAACACTTCTTAAACATTCCACCTGCTCCCGTGCATGGGCTGTTCCCTGGTGGTGGGCATGGGTGGCTCAAGCCTGCCTGGGTGGGACAAGGTATCTATGAAGTTTCCAATGACTCCCTTGCTTTGTGGGGTCCTCATCAGGGAAATGGTAGATGCTACCTTGTCCTGCAGGGTGACAGGTGAGAATCTGTTTTGCCTGAGTACCCACCCCTGGCCCCATCACAGCCCCTTGAGCAGGTGACATTTCCTTGGGGGCACTTGCTTGGTCCCTGAGACTTCTCTGTGTCTCAAAGTGCTGCTCTGTTCAGACCCCAAGTGGGTGTGAATCTGAGTACCATGTCTTGAGCCCAGAGGATCTGTCATGGCCACACACTGCCATCCCCCTGTTGGGCCATTCAGATCTCCTGCTCACCACCGTCCGAATCCCAGCTGAGAGGGACCTGTGCCCTTCTGTCCTTGGTACCTTGAGACTGCTGGGAGGCCATCCTGGCAGCATTCTTCATGGTGGAATTTGGTCCCATAATCCTGCCCCTTTGGTGTTTTGAAGGCAAACATCTTCCTGAAAGTTCTGGATATTTCTCACAATGGCTTTGGGGACCCTGGAGCCTCTGCAGTGGGTGAGGCTCTCAAAGTCAACAACGTGTTGGAGGAACTCAATATGAGGTGAGGAGCATGGCACAATGCCACCAGGACCCAAGGTCATTTTCCTAAAAACTATGTTTATTTATTTTATAAATTATATTATGTATTATATAATATTATCATATGTGATATGTAATACACATACTAGATTATGTAAATATATATTATACAAAGAATATGTATTATATCTTATGAGTATATACATATGTATGTGTATGTTTATGTATTTATGCATGTGTGCCTATAATTATGTGTATTGTATATTGTAATATATTATTACATGTGTTACCTATATATTAGAAAGAGTGACAGAGAGAAAGAAGGAAGACACCCACAGAAAGGGGGAGAGATCTACCGTCTGTTAATTCACTCCCCAGATGCCCACAACACAACAACCAGGGCTGAGTCAAGCTAAAGCCAGGAACTCCATCCGGGTCTCCCATGTGGGTGGCAGGGGCCCAAGGATTTGAACTGTCCTCCACTGCTTTCCCAGGCACGATAGCAGGGCACTGGATTGGAAGCAGAGCAACTGGGACTCCAGTAGGTATTCTGGTGTCTGAAATGGCAGTGTTGCAGGGGGCAGCTTAACTCATTGTGCCATAATTCCACCCCTCCCCCAAGTCTCTTTACTTTCCAGAACGAGCACAATCTACCCAGGATAAGGCTTGAGCCATGATTCCCCAGGACCCAGCTGTCTCTTTTACTTAAGTTCATGGTTTGTAAGTATAGAGGTGTGTGTGTGTGCATCTCCACAGAGCCTGGTGTGAGTCATGGTAGGACCTTAAGAAGTGACCCGTGTGTGCTCCTAGCACCTGAAAGCTGGGTGCTACTGTCCCGTGTGAGGTGCACCTCTGGGTCAGGCAGGATCCCAGTTTCAACAGGTAACCAGAGGAAGGCATGGGGAACAGGGTGCAAGGGCAGGAAAAACACAGGGTCCAGACAGGTAAGGGCTGTTGTTGCTGAGTCCCTCCCCTGTGGGCCAGGAGGGCCTCCTCAGTCCTGGTCCCCCTTCCCCCGAGGGAGGAGCTAAGGCTGTAGGCAGCCACAGGAGATGCCGAGAGTCAGGGTGCCGAAGTGGGAGTTTGGATTGGTATGTGGTGCAGAAAGTAGGCCCCATGTTGGGGTACCCTTACCCCTCATCAGAGCACCCCTTTCAAATCCCAGCTCCTTTGCTTCCAGGGCAGGATGATGGCTCCAGGGCTTGGGCCCCTGCCATCCACACATGAAGATGACCTGGATGGAGATCTGGGCTGCTGGCTTCAGTTTAGCTCAGCCCTGGCAGTGGCAGGCATTTGGGGAGTAATGATGTGCGTGTATGTGTGTTTGTCTTTCACATAAAGTGAAACATTTAAATGTTTTTAAAAAGGAGTGAGAATGGCTCAAAAAAGCAAACTCACATGCCGTGCTAAAACGTGTAGTTTGGGTCCAGCACGCAGAGAAAGAGGAGGAGGAAGACAGAAGGAAGGCCCTACAGTTGGGGCGAGCTGGGCCAGCACACAGGAGCCTGTCTGCAAAGCTTAGCAGGCAGCTGGTCTCCCCCTGGTTGGGTGGGGGGCGGTGGTGGGCCACCTCTTAGGCCGCCTCTTAGGTGTGTGTGGCTTTTCCACATTAACTAGGAACCCTAGGTATGACTAGAGGGCCAGAGGTAAAGGTTAACCTGCCAGATACAACAGCAGCTCCATAGGGCACCCTGGGCCAGTGGGCTCTGCTCTGCTGTAGGGGGCTCCTGAATGCCAGTGCCTGTTGTTGCAGCAACAACCGCATCTCTGCCGCCGGAGCCCGCAGCCTGGGCCTGGGCCTCCGGGTCAACCAGACGCTGCGCATTCTTATTGTGAGTGACAATCTGACAGTGGGGTGGGGGGAGGCTTAGCACACAAGTCCCTCCCCTGCCACAACCCCCATCCCATCCCAGGAGTAGCAAATGGGTGGGACACACAGTGCACAAATTGGGGTGGAGGATGTCTCTGGGAGGGGTCTCTGACTTTCTCCTAGGACCATTTCTTGCCCCCATTTACGCCCCCACCTCCCACTAGGCCAGTTACTGGATTTCTAGGCTCTTTCTGTTTTCTCCCACTGACATCCTTACAGATGCTCTGCCTCCTTCTCCCTGCTCCCCCTCAACCTACTGAGATTCTCAAGGTGGGCCCTCTTGCCCGGCCCTTCCTCCTCACCTTCTCTCCTTTGCCTGCACTCTCTAAAGAGGTCAGGATCAGTCCAGGTACTGTTAGGGTCTACTCAGACCTTACTTGAGGAATGCCCAGTAGAGGTTCCTTCCCTCAGGGGTCCCAAGGGGAAGAAGAGCCAGAGAAGGGAGAGTGGGGAGCAGGTGAGGGTGGGCAGGACAGCTGTGGGAAGACCACTGTGCCTGCCAGCAGCCTGGGGTGGGAGACAGAGAGGGGCACCTGGCTCTGCCTGGCTCTCCACTGTTGATAAACCACAGTGGGCCCTGAGGGATCTGATTTCTTTTTTAAAGATTGATTTATTTTTTATTAGAAAGTCAGATATACAGAGAGGAGGAGAGACAGAGAGGAAGATCTTCCATCCGATGATTCATATTCCCCCAGTGAGCGCAACGGCCAGTGCTGTTTTTCACCTCTGCTTTTGCTCCTGCTGCTCTGTCTGCAATGCTAGGTGACCAGGAACCCTTTGCGCAGTGAAGGCTGCACGGGTCTTCTCAGGGCTGTCAGGGACAACGCTGCATCTGCCCTTGAACTGCTGGATTTCTCTGTAAGAGTTTATTTATTAACCTCAGCTCTATTCTACCCTCCAGCCACCCCCTCCAGGTGTGCGGGTGGGGGGAATAGGGGGTCTGTTTCAGAGGAAGAAAGTGAGTGGGGGTTACAGAAACAGAGTGCTCTGCACAGCAGATAAACAGCCCAAGAGAGGCAGGAACCTTAGGGCTTAGTCCTGCTCCTACCTCCGCTCCATACATCACCCCTGCGGCTAATGGTCACGCTGTGCATTGATCTCCAGCCGCTGCCTGAGTCCTTCACTGACTGGGCGAGGGGGACACGATGTCCCTCTTGGCTGAAGGAGCCTCTTTGGAACCCTGTGAGTAAGAACAGCCGGATTCCCAGACACGTCACCATGAGCTTTCCTGTCCTGGGTTTCTCCTCAGGACGTCCAGGTGGACAGAGACTTTGATGAACTCACCAGCTCCGTCCAAGTCCTTCTTCCGGGCCTTTGCATCAAGACTGGTGCTCACAGAGTGGAGTATAAAAAAGAACTGCTGCAAGCTGGCACTGTGGTGCAGTGAGTAAACCCGCTGCTTGCAGGGCCAGCATTCCATACGGATGCAAGTTGAAGTCCTGGCTACTCCACATCCGATCCAGCTCCCTGTTAGTGTACCTGGGACAGCTACAGAAGAGGATCCAAGCGTTTGGGCCTCTGCCACCCATGTGGGAAACCCAGTTGGAGTTCCAGGCTTCTGGCTGCAGCCTGTCCTAGCTCTGGTCATTGCAGCCATTTGAGGAGTGAATCAATTCTCCCTCTCTCTCTCATATATATATATATATATTACTCTGCCTTCAAAAGAAATATATATTTTTTAAAGATTTATTTTTATTATGTTTTATTGGAAAGGCGGATATACAGAGAGGAGAGACAGAGAGGAAGATCTTCCGTCCGATGAGTCACTCCCCAAGTGAGCGCAACAGGCCGATACTATGCCGATCCGAAGCCAGGAGCCTCTTCTGGGTCTCCCATGCGGGTGCAGGGTCCCAGAGCTTTGGGCCGTCCTCAACTGCTTTCCCGGGCCACAGGCAGGGAGCTGGAAGGGAAGCGGGGCTGCCGGGATAGAACCGGCGCCCATATGGGATCCCAGGCATGCAACGTGAGGACTTAACCACTTGCGCCACCACGCTGGGCCCCAAAAGAAATATTTTTACAAAATTGCTGCCCATGTTCAGACTCTGCCCTCAAGTGACTTTGTAGTGAGGTCTGCTTGTTTCCTCGGCTCCATGGAATCATCACACTCTGCTCACACTTGTGCCCAGCGAGATGCCGTGAGCCATCAGGAGCCGAGTTCTCTGGCTTCCACCACGACGAAGACATCACTTACTCCTCTCTGCTCCCACACTGGGGGGAACAGGGAGCGTTTTTCTTGGGCTTTTGTTCTCACCTGTGCAACACAGACCCCTCCTGTCACCGTGCAGGACGCACGCTCAGACGCCCAAGGACATTTTCATCCTGCTGGTTGTCTGTGTTCTAACCGGGCTGACTCTTGGCAGGTGTGTGACCAGCATTTCTGAAGTCTACTTGAGAGCATGCGAGCTAGCCTAACCCTCAGGAAGCAATGAATCCTGCCATAGCACAAGTCCTTCAGCTTAGCCGTACTGAGGCTGGTGTCTGTGGTACAGTGGCCGAAGCCTCCGCTTACAAGGCTGCCATCCCTTCTAGGGGTGCAGGTTCCCATCCAGCCCCCTACTAGTGGCTCTAGTACCATCATGGAGATCCACATGAAGATTCCGGCTTGTGACTGCTGTGGCTGTTGAGAGAGTGAACAGAGAGGCTGATGGAAGATCTCGTTCCCTTTTTCCTTATTACTTTTTGAAGTAAAATAATAAAAACCCACATCTGTCTGTGATCTTTCATCCATGAGCCAACTAATCTGCTATACCAGAGATACATAAAAAATTGATGTAGGGCTGATGTAGTGGTATTACAGGCTAAGCTTCTGCCTGCAAGGCTGGCATCCCATATAGGTGTTGGTTCAAGTCCCAGCTGCTCTACTTAAAAAAAAAATTATTTATTTTTATTTGAAAGGTAGATATTATAGAAAGAAGAAGAGACAGAAAGAGATTTGAAAGCTTTATCCCCTGGTTCACTCCCCACAGGGTTAATTGATTTTGAAACTCCACAAACTTTACAAAGTCATATGTCCAAAGAACATATAACAATTCCTGAAAATGAACGTGATCCGTGTTAAGTTTCTGAGAAATAAACACACACAAAGTTATCACCACTTCCTTAACAGGTTAAACACAGTGGCGGATGTGGCACAGCAAGTAAAGGCTGCTACTCGCAATACCAGCTCATGGCCCAAGAAAGCAATGGAGGATAGCCCAACGCACATGGGTGCAGAGTCCTAAAGCTTTGGCCTGTCCTCGACAGCTTTTCCAGGCCACAAGCAGGGAGCTGGATGGGAAGTGGAGCTGCCGGGATTAAAACAGGCGACCATATGGGCTACTGGTGAGCTCAAGATGAAGACTTTAGCCACTAGGCCACGCTGCTGGGCCCTGATGCTCTCTTTCTTGCTCTCCTTCTCTTTCCTTGACTCTGCCTTAAATAGGTAATTTTCAAAAAATATAAAAAAAAAAAAGGCTGATTATAAACAGCTCCATATGACCCAGCGGTTCCACTCCTAGGCTCCTAGGTATATGGACTTTAAGGGACGTTAAAACAAATTCCACGCAAAAGCCTGTTACACAGGCTCACAGGCACGGCGTTCATAATGCCCAAACCACATGATTCAGCATTAAAAAGGAATTCAGTGTAAGATGGTGAAAATGTAAGCAGCAAGGCCACGGGCCCAGCTCGTTCCGGGGAAAGCGGCAAGGCCTCGCCCGCCCCACGGGCCCAGCTCCCGGGGAAGCAGCAAGGCCTCTCCCGCCCCACGGGCCCAGCTTCCCTCGAGGCCGCCCACTGCCTTCCTCCACCCTCACTGCCTGAGGCCCCTCGGGAACGTCCCCTAGCGTCCTCGGCAGCCTTCCCGCCAAAACCCACGTCCAATCCGAAGCGCCGCAAGCCCACTGACAGAGCATCGAGCCAATCGAGAGGAGGACCTGGAACGTTGGCCCGCCCTCAAGGAGCTCCGGACCAATGAGTGCCCCGGAAGCCACGAACACACTCCCCGTGAAGTGCGCGCGCGGCAACGAACGGACGTTGGGCGCGCGACGTCGGCGGCGGCAGTTGAGGTCCGGTAGCGGCCTTGGCGTCGGGCAGCGGCAGCGGGTAGCGGCAGCGCAGCGGCGGAGCTCACTATGGTAGGGTCCCGGGGATGGCCGGGGGTCGGTGGGCAGAAGGATGTCCCTCGGGAGGGCCTGCTGGGGCCGGTGGGACCGGAGGAGCCGGGGGAAGGACGCAGGGGGTGTAGGGTCAGCCCCGGAGGACACGGCCTGGCGTCCCCGGGGGTTTTCGCGTGTGAGGACCGGGGTGACCCAGCTGAAGGCGGGTTGGAAGGTGAAGGGAGTCCGAAGCGGCTGGTCCGCTTCCCCCTGGGAATCTGTGGTGAGGTACCGTGAGGTGGCCAGAGTCGGGAAAAGGGAGTTGTTATTTTTTTAAAAAATTATTTCTGTCGTGCCATTGGCGCTAATTGTATGGAAAGGGCAGGTGGTGAATTTCTGGAAGAAGCCGTGAGTTTTGAAGACGAGGCAGAGTGCTTCTCCAGCTTTCTCGTTTGGCACCCCCCGGACACGCACACAAGGGCCTTTGTTTTCTGTGGGTTATAGCCACGGCCGTTTTCCGTGTTGGATATTTCCCTTCCCACCGAGAAGCCTGTGAAGCTGCTCCACTTCCACCCAGCTCCCTGCTAAGGGGCAGCCAGGGAGAGAAACCCTTCAAACTGGTCCAAATCCTTGGTCCCCCATAGCCACTCCTGGCTGGAGAACTTGGGAGAAGCCCCTGGTTTCAGCTTCTGTCAGCCCTGGCTGTTGCAGCCATTTTGAGAGTGAATCAGTAGAGTGGAAAATCTAGGGATTCCACCTTTCAAGTGAGTCTTAAAAAAGTGTACTGAGGTTTAAAAGTTTCCGGTTTTTTCCAGTTTAGTTGAAGAGCAGAGAAAGTGATTCCCTCTGCTGGTTCACTCCCCACAGATGTCCACAATAGGAGGCACTGGGCCAGGCCTGAAGCTAGGAGCCTGCTTGGGTGGCTACCCCCTGGTCGCTCCCAGGGGTGGCAAGGGCCCTAAGCCCTGAAGCCATCATCTTGCAGGGTGCCCATAAACAAGATGTGGGATGCCCAGTGGTATCTTCAGCGCTGTGTCAAGAGCCCACCACAAGAAGCTTTGAAAATGCTTATTTTAAAGCAACCCATGGGAACATAAGTAACATCTAGCAGAACTGAAGAATCCTAGCCTTGTCAGTTATTCTTTCAGGTAAAAATGGTGTCCCTTGAACAAAAGTGGCTACTTTAGCTTGCAACTCAAAACAGTCGTAGCAGTGTGTTTTCTGATGAACCGCATTGGGTCCCAGTGCCCAGTAAGATCTATTGATATATTTGGAAAGCCATAGAGAGTTCTTCCATCCATTGGTTCACTCCCCAAATAGCTGCAGTGGTCGGCCAGGGCTTAAGCCGGACTGAAGCCAGGAGTCCAGAACTTCATCTGGGTCTCCTACGGAGGTGGCAGGGGTGCATGTATGAACCATTTTCTACTGGCTTTCCCAAGCCACCAGCAAGGAGCTGGATTGGAAGTTGAGCAACAAGAATATGAGCCAGTATCCATCTAGGATGCCAGTTGGCCTCTCATTTTGGTGGACGTTGGAACTGATTCAAAGAGATAATCTTACCAAGGGCTGACGTGGTGGTATAGCCAGTTAAGCCACCGCCTACAGCACCAGCATCTCAGATTTGAGTCCTGGCTGCTCTTCTTCTGATCTAACTTCCTAGCAATGCGCTTGGGAAAGCGTAAGATGACCAAAGTGCTTAGACCCTTAATATTCACGTAGGAGACTCTGGAAGAAGTTCCTGGCTCCTGGCTTCAGACTTTCCCAGCATCTCAGTTTGAGTCCTGGCTGCTCTGCTTCTGATCTAACTTCCTAGCAATGCGCTTGGGAAAGCGTAAGATGACCAAAGTGCTTAGACCCTTAATATTCACGTAGGAGACTCTGGAAGAAGTTCCTGGCTCCTGGCTTCAGACTTTCCCAGCTGCAGCCCTTGCAACCATTTGAGACGTGAGCCAATGAATAGAAGATCTCTCTGCCTGCCTGTCTCTGTGTAACTCTGCCTTGCAGAGTTTTTGTTGAATTTTTATTTTTATTTATTTAGTTATTTATTTATTTGTGGGAAAGAAAAGAGAGAAGGAAAGATCTTCCATCTGCTGGTTTACTCTCCAAATGGCTACAATGGGTGAAGCTGAGCTGATCTGAAGCCACCAACCTCCTCCAGGTCTAACATGCAGGTGCAGGGACCCAGGTTTTGGGTCATCCTCTGCTGCTTTCCCAGGCCACAAGCAGGGAACTGGAGCAGCCAGGACATGAACTGGCATCCATATGGGATGTTAGCACTCGTGGGAGGAAAATTAGCCAGTTCAGCCATTGTACTGGCTTCTTAAAAAAAATTCAATTAAAAAAATATTATTTAAAGGATCCATTGTGTAGTCACTGTGTGCGCAAGAGCTTCATGTGTCTTTCTCATATTTTGAGAGTAATCTCTGGTCACTTCATCAAAGAGATGCATGAATCAAACTTACTTTTCACTCTGAGTACATGGGAGGGGGAGTGATACCACTGTCATGACTGATGCCACGTCACCAACAGCTTTATCGTGGCCTTCAGAGCAGAGAACTCAGGCAGAAGGGTTAGTGATGCTCCAAGAGCCCACTGAGCAAGCAGCATGTCTGGGCAGGAGATCCTTGAGGGGAAGGTTCACGGGTGTGGAGAGACAGGGCTTTGTTGTAAGGTAGAGTTAGGGAAAGCACAGGAAGGGATGCTTGGTAAATCTGGAATAAGGCCAGCTGCCAAAAAATGGGAGAGTTTGTTCTGGAGTTTGAAAAGGGCATAGAGGAAGTTTCAAATTTTGAAAAAAAAAATATTAACTTTTATTTTATTTGAAAAGCAGGGAGAAAGAAAAAAAAGGAATGTTCCATCTGTTTGTTTGCTCCCCCAAGTTCCCGACAGCCAGGATTAGGGCAGGCCACACCTAAGTGGTCTGGGACTGCCTGCCACATGAGCAGCAGGGGACCCAGGTGCCTGAGCGACCACCTGTAGCCTCCCAGGGCATGGAGTGTAGCTGGGCTTCATTCTGGGAACTCTGGTAAAGGCATATGGGCACCCCAAGCAGCAAATAGCAGCTTAACCACTGTGGTGGCAAATGGACGCCGCTAAATTAAAGCTTAGTAATGAAGTGTAACCTGGGGGGTGTGAGGAAGCTGATGTCACACAAAAGAACAAAAGTTCCCTACCCAACTCTGGGGACAGAATGCAGATTCCTGCTAATGCGAACAGGGAGGACACATGACTGGATTCTTGTCATCCACATGGGTGGCCTGGGTTGAGCTCCCTGCCCTGGACACTGGGGAGTGAGCCAGTGTAAGGCCAAGTATGGTCATTAGCAAAGCTCTATCATGAAAGTAAAGAATAATTTTCATGAATGTGTACATTGGTGTATATATATATATATAAAGGAAAGACAGAAATATCTTGCATTTGCTGGTTCACTCCCCAAGTAGCTATAGCAGCTATAGCTGAGCTGATCCAAACCCAGGAGGCAGTAGCTTTTTCAGGGTCTTCCATGTGAGCGCAGGATCCCAAGGCTTTGGGCCGTCCTCGACTGCTTTCCCAGGCCACAAGCAGGGAGCAGGAAGGGAAGTGGGGCAGTTGCAAGGGGAGGGTTAGCCAGTTGAGCCATCACACAAGACTCACCCCATTTTATAGGGGAAGGAATCGGGGGATTTCTACAGATGAATTCCTTTGCACTGGGGAGGTTCCTTTGGGGGGCCAACATGGTGCAAAGGGCCAAGCTGCCACTAATAACATGAGCATCCCATATCCAGTTCTCTGCTCATTCCGCTGGGAAGCCAGCAGAAAATAACGGGTCAAGACTTAGGCCCTGGCCACGCATGTGGGAAACTAGGCTGGAGCTCCTGCCTCCTGGCTTCGAATCAGCTCAGCTCCAGCCACTGCAGCTATTTGTGGAGTGAAACAGTGGGTGGAAGGTCTTTGTCTCTCCCTTTCTGTCTGTCTCTCTGCCTTTCAAATAGATAAAAATAAATCTTTAAATAGTTTCAGACCTGACGTGGTAGCCTAGCAGCTAAAGACCTCATCTTGAACACACCAGGATCCCATGTGGGCACCAGTTCTAATCCCGGCAGTCCTGTTTCCCATCCAGCGCCATACTTGAGGCCTGGGAAAGCAGTTGAGAACTTCATCTGGGTCTCATGTGGGTGGCAGAGGACCTTCCACTGCCTTTCCCAGGCTTAATAATTAGCAGGGAGGTAGGTCAAAAGTGAAGCAGCTGGGACACAAACTAGGTGGCATACTAGCTCACGGGCAGGAGCTTTACTGGCTGTGTCACAGTGCTGGCCCTGGAAGTTCATTCTTGAGATTCTATGGCCACCAAGTATTAAAATCATGTAATTTTGTGTTGTAAAATACAATTATATTCTAGGGCTAAATGGCACTTTAGCTAGGGCGGGTTAGAGCAAGCTAGTGTTCCCATTGGTACAGGGAAGTGGAGAGTCCGAGGTAGAAAGGCACTAAAGAAATATTAAATTAGTGTTTTACATGCCATGTGGTTGCACCTTGCCTTGACCATGAATAAGTTCTCCGTTTCTGTTCTGGTTCCCAGCGCGAGTGTATCTCTATCCACGTGGGGCAGGCAGGGGTCCAGATCGGCAATGCCTGCTGGGAACTGTACTGCCTTGAACATGGAATTCAGCCCGACGGCCAGATGCCAAGCGACAAAACCATCGGGGGCGGCGATGACTCATTCAACACGTTCTTCAGTGAGACGGGGGCGGGCAAACACGTGCCCAGAGCAGTGTTTGTGGACCTAGAGCCCACCGTGGTGGGTAGGTGCTGGGGCACGGGAGGGTGGGAGCTCCCAGCGTGGCCCCCCTACTCCACAGCAGAGTCCTGAAGTACAAGTTCATGTGATGGTTAAGTGAGAAACCAGAAGGCACACATGTGCATGTCTGTGAGTGTGCGACTCAGCCTCCTGGTGACACAGCCCTACCATGGCAGCGAGAGATCTGCCTGGGGCTGCCCGG